TGAAATACAAGGGCGGCGCCAACGTCGAAGAATATGCTACGCTTCCACTCTGGCTACGTTTACACCGTGCATTTAGACCGCGGCCTATACGATAGATGTCTTTGTTTATCCTGTATATTAAACAAAGACACCTATCGTGTAGGTCGCGGACTAAGCGCACGGTGTAAACGTAGCCTCTATCTTATCCTCTTTAGGCAGGACGTCCTGCCTTAAGGCAGATTCTCTGCGCGGCGACCTGAGGTCGTGCTATGTAAAAGCAGCATTACGTCACGCTCAGAGCGCCAATTAGTGCGAGTGAGTGTAGGAAAAATATGTTACTAGAATTTGGTAAATTAATTGTTATGCGGACGTATCAATACATAGGCCATTTCTTACAATAGCTAAATCTAGTTTCGAATCATTTGGAGTCATTCGATTCACATACCGTTCGTTGAATCTTTTTATTTTGTATGGTACTTTGACTTGTCCTTGCGGGTCGGAAGTCTACTTAGAGAAGAAAAGAAGAATACTTTTATAAATTCTGTATTTGCATCAATCAAAACGTTTATTAATGTAAGGCTGCGGTTCACTTGACGCTACAAACGCTTCGAAGCATTCTGTGATTAGTCAATTCGTAAAATTCTTTGTTCTGATTGGTCGTTCAAACGCTTCGAAGCGTTTGTAACACGTCAAGTGGACCGCAGCCTAAATTGTATTTCTGTAATACTTTCAGCAATTTTTTACTTTCTAAATTTGAATAATAACGAAATTTTGTAGCAACATTAAAGCAGTTTTTAAGCAATCATATTTGGGTTTTTATATAAATTATTAATATTAGAATATATTAAAATTTTTACGCTGTATATTACTTAATTAGGCAATATTATGCAGCATAAAACTGCATTTTTTCACAATTCATATCGTATAAGAAAAAAGTATTTTATGATATTCTTGAGGCTTCCACGTATTTTATTTAATACTTTTTAAATTTTGAATTCTTATATAAATATTAGTTTATCTTACATTGCGTAAAACTACTCTAATTAATAATTTAATTTAAATTATTAGAGTATTTTTTATAATTATAAATTTATTTGAATTATTAATATATGTATAAATACATTTATATTAATTAAATATATTATATATAAATTATTAATATACATTAATAATTTAAATTATTAATAAAAATAATTTTCATGTAATAAAAAATAAAACTTATTAAACTTATAAATTCATAGGATACAAAAAGGGAATAAGACATAATTTCTTATTATATTCTGGAAGTTTAGAAAAAAAATTTTATGCTGGATGATATTGTTTAATTAACTATTGTTACTTATTTTTATCTGCTGTCATATTTTTTATAATCTATAAAATTATAAGAAGAATAATTTTTCAAAGGTGGAGGGAATATATTTCATTTTTTAAAATTTCATAGATATATCCAGCTTTTTATTAAACTATGGATAAAATTATCAATGTACAAATAAATAAAAAACCCTCAATTTCGCGATCTTCAAATAATAGCAATCATTATAAACTACATCAACTTGTTGCAACAAAAGCAAAAAATAACGAGGAAACAAATAATGACAATAATACAATTGATTACAAAAATATTTCACTCTCTATGAAAGGTAAATTATTATTGCAGCTGTCATTAAAATGATACATGCATATTTTTATTATTAAGATTCTGTGAGATACGAATTTATTTTTGCACAGGAGAAATAAGTTCAGGTTCCATATACAGATACAATTTAACGAAAAAGCAGCCTACTAACGTCACTTTTATAGAGGATACAGAAAATGCCGATGATGAAGAATTTATCTCAAATATGAAAACGATTATTGATAAAAATTACAAAATGTAACATCAATTAATAATTAATTTGTATATGGATAATTACTACATATACTTTTTTATTTAAGTCGATATTTTGATATGAACAGGCAAGATAAAAAAAATTTTAGCATAAAAGATTTGCAAAGCAAATCGCATATATCAAGAAAAAAAAAGTGTGTATTCAGCGACGAAGACCAGAATTTGATGAAACGATTTAAAAAATCTGTCGACGAAAGGAAAGCTTTGTGTACAGTAGTTTCACAAAAGTTGCAGCAGCCTGAGCACGTTATTTCCGTTAGTGATCAGAATTACTCAACAACTTACACTACTCAACAAGTTGTCCCATTTATGAAATATGATGACAGCGATATGAGTTCCAGGTATATGTATATCAATTTAGATATTTACAATCAATTATCGTTCGATTAATTATAAGTTGATGTGTAATGTTTTTAGGAGTAACTCGAACGAACCGTTTTTCCACCTAGCTTCAAAAATACAAAAAAATGACCAATGGGTCGAAGAAAAAATATCAGGGAACATAAAAACTGTTACTGAAATCGAGCAGCTAATTTACCACGAAATGCAGTTTTTTACACCTCCCCAAAAAGACAACTTGTAATTCATAAAATGACTTATAATTATTTAATTTATATAAAATATAAAATAAATTTGTAGTTACACATCATAAAACATTTCGCCGTATTGATAGAAAAGTAACACATCTTAAAATTAATAACTTTTTCAATAGAGCATTTTTGAAATTCTTTCTGAATTGGATCAACGTTTTATTAGGATTGTGAATATGTGTATAATTTCACTTTTTTCCATATATATTATATATACTTTTAATTATGAGTTTAAAAATACAGCCGCAATCCTAATAAATATACGAAATTTCAATTCTTATAAAGTTGTAATATTTTTCCGTATAAGCAATGCGTATCGGCAATATATGTCGTATTTCGACAAAAATATATTATTATATAGTCTTTAAAATTAGTTTCTTTTTATCTCAAAAATACTACAATGTTTTAAAATGACTTGTGTCACTTTTCTATCAACGCAACGATTTGTCAATGCGCGCGCGCGCGCGCACAATTTGTTGTAACATTAAAATTATATAAGCTGTATTTATTAAGAACATCTTATCATTTATTAAATACATAGGCTGCGTTCCATTTCACACATGATGCGTATGATGCATCATTTATCCTTATTCACCAAATGTTGAAATGATATATTATGCACATCATGCGTGAAACGGAACGCAGCTATAATAAACTACTCACATGTTCTTTGAAGTCTTGGAATTTTGATTTTATCAGTAAGTAATATCAATACTCCGAAAATAAACGATTGTAAAGAAAATTAAATCATTTAAATTAACAACATATATTTGATATATCTTATTGTAGAATATTACAGTTTAATATAATTTTTAATTCGTTTATTACGTCGTTTGTTACGCGGAATTTAAACATTCCCGCGAGACGGGATGACGAAATTCTCACCAGATGACGCCAAAATGGCGAAAATAATCATAACCTATCAAAGAGGCTTTCAAATACGTAAAGAGATTAAGATTTAAATGCGTATATTTAAAATGATTATTTCCAATTATTGCAAATTTAAATAAATATTTGTATAATTTGCACAATACTATTAAATTGATTTAACAGCGAGTGTTACAGTTGAGAGATACTTGGAGCAATCAAGAACGCAATGAGTGAATTTAAATTACATCATTTAATAGTGCAGTTGATTGAATTATTGGGGTAAGCGGCAAAATCCATATTTTACAACTATGTAAAATTATGTAGATTTAAAGAAATTTGTCAAGTTGCTTTATTTTACATGAAGCATTGCTTGCAACAAATACGTGTATTTTTTAGTTCTGAATCTGCTCCGGAGAGACACTTGGAAAAGCTTCAGAAAGAAAGTTTGACAGCGAACACGTTAAACACAGTTGCTCCTCACAGCTGTATTCAGCACCTCGCCAAGATTTCGTCCGAACCAGAATTATTTATACAAAAATATGAGGAACTAAAGTCAAAAAAGTTAGTTGAGTTATAAAGCAGATATTACAACCAACTTACAGAAGAAAGACAACAAAAGATGTATTTTTTCAGAGTAGACTTACTTGGTCCATTTGTACAGACTCTAGAATTGATATCTCAAGATGAAGAACTGAAGAAATACTTGTCAAGATCCCTACCGAGAGCCACGACTAGTTCTCTGAAGGATCCGACTATTACGCAAGAAGACTTGCCAAAGGTCATAATTATATACAAGTACATAATATCTTTAATGAAATTTCCTTCAGTTATATGATTTAATTACTTGTTTCTTTACATAATATATGTTAGTATATACAATAGGTATAATTTTTTTAATTCAATAGATTTGCAAAACTGTTATTAAAGCTGCTGTAGAAGGAGGAAAGAAATTAAACCAGCAAGTTTGTTCAATCAGTAAGAAAAGTGATAGTACTTCAGTGAAGCATAATTGGGTAATAGAACGTCCACGCATAACTTGGGATTTTCACAGTGACACCACTGTAGCACTTTATCAAAGTTTGTAAATAATTTTTTCTCTCTCTCTCAATCGCAAGATTGAAAAACAATGAAATGTACATATCTAAAATATTTACTGTTTATAGAAGTTGTACCAATTGTATCTCAGGAGTCTATACTTCTTTGGGATATTTTATATTGTTTAAAAGGAATAGATGGATCGTATATTGTTTCGGAACCGTTAACGAGTCCTTATGGTGTTAAGACTTTCAATATATCACCGGATGTTGGTAAGGAACAATGTTAAAAATTTTAATCTTAAGTAGTAATCATTAGAAAATATGAAGTTAAATGTTTGAATTTTAGGTATATCATTTAAGCAATTAGCGCAACAGATATTACCTTTAGCTTCCTATTACTCTATGACAGTAAGATTTGTTGAAGAAAAGGTCTCGCCGGATGATGGACAAGTCAATCATGCTTTGAGAGGAGCTATACGATCTCTACTGAAGGATTACTTGGTATAATAAATTGCCAACTACAATTTGACAAGACAAAACATCGAAGACTTGATGTATTTTCCTTTTCTCTGTGTTTTATTTACATTTAGATATCAATCAATTTTGCTGTCTTTTAGCTCTTTGTCGTGCAACTTGAGACAGAACACATTCATGGTAAACTAAGTTTGCAGAAACTATGGTTTTATATCCAGCCTACTATGCTTACAATGTCCATACTTTCTCAAATTACATCCACAATATGTAAGGTTAGTCTAAAACATCAATTAATTAAATAATTTTAATTATCTTTATTTTTAAAATATACATATAGAATATAGATTGTGTTTTCTATAACTAAAATATTAGAGGTATAATATGATGTAAAGCATTTGATATTAGGCGAATGCCAGAGGAGGCAAAGTATTGAGTCTTTTGCATGAGCAAACGTTAAACAATGTCAGTGGCGAAGCAAAGTCTAAAGAACTGTGTTTATATCTGATGCAAGCGGCGAGTATGCCATATATGCAAATTTTAGAAAAGTGGGTTTACAAAGGAGTGATATGCGATCCATATCAGGAAGTTAGTATTAAGTCAATTCTTATGTTATACGTTATAAATGATATATTTATACTTATTCATTTATCAGTTCTTTGTAGAAGATAACGAATTAATTCAAAGGGAAGAACTTCCCGTGGATTATTCTGCAGATTATTGGGAAAAGAGGTACACTATGCGATTAGAAAGAATACCTGTATTCTTGAATGAACATGCACAAACTATACTTAGAACTGGAAAATATTTTAACGTGATTAGACAATGTGGTACGTAAAATAATATATTCGTATTTATTATATTATTAAAAGATAAATAGAGCATTGGTGTATATAATAACCGTTTATCATATTTTTTTGATCAATTAGTTTGCAAATTGTCAGTTTACAAATTATTTTATAACTTTAATAAATCTATATGTAGGTAAAACAGTGCAGTGGGGAAAACAAGAACCATTAAGCTATCAGTATCAAGGGCAGAAATACATAGCTGCCATCGATAGGGCATATTCAGAAGCTGCCAGAAAATTATTAGAGGTACTTATGAAGGAAAATGATCTGATGGGTAGACTACGTAGTGTAAAGAGTTACTTTCTTCTTGCCCAAGGAGATTTTGTGGTAAGTTAATAATAAGTTACATGCTGTTAAATATTAGTTTCATTTTATTTATTTAAAACCTTATTAGATATTTATTTATGTCATGTTTTCAGCTTTGGGTAAAAAGATTTAGGAGAATTAATTTGAATAGATAAATAATATTGTATACATTTCGAGATAACAGTAATATAAACTTGACAAGAATTTAACATTAATGTTTTGAAATATATAAGCCTTCAATATTATAATTTATATTTTCATCACTACTCCAAGTATATCAACATTTCATTCTTATTATTTATGAAATGTTAAACAAGAATGAAATACAGAGTGTTCCCAAAAAGGGTCATAGATTTTAAAGGCATATAGAACAATAAAAAATAAGTCAAAGCCTAATAAACAAAACGAATGGATTGCTATTCCTTTTCGTCGCTGTTTTTATGAATCATTTTTTACTTGACTTTTCCATGCTTAAAACGGAATTCCTTTTTTTTAGAAATGTTAAGAAGTTCCTAAACATTTATTTCTTAACATCTTTATTATATTCTTTATATAACAAAATATTTATGTATTTTTCCATTATATATAGGTCCAATTTATGAATCTTTGTGAGGCCGAATTGAACAAGAGTATGTATGATATCGTTTTACATCGTTTAGCATCTCTTCTCGAAGTTGCCTTGCGAATGTCTACTGCAGATTCAGATCCCTATAAAGATGATCTGAAGCCAGAATTACTTCCATATGATCTACAATATCAAATGTTCAGAATACTTTCCATTCAAACTAGAGATGAGAAAGGTATATTTTATTAAAAGTATTATGTACACTCTCTCTTGCCTAGTTATATTTAAATAAAAAAAATTAATATAACAAAAATTAATCTTCCTTGTAGAGTTCTGCTTCCAAGCAGGTAAAGTTTTGACCGGTTTGGAAGCTTTCGTCTTCAATTATGATGTTAAATGGCCAGTTTCTCTAATTATTAATAGAAAGGCCATAGCTTGTTATCAAATGTTATTTAGGCATCTGTTTTATTGCAAATATGTTGAGAGACTCTTATGCAGGTAAATTATTTTAACAGATTTACGATTTATATCCATAGCAAAATTTTAAAAGGAGAAAAGTAAAATGGTAAAATTTTTGATGGATTATAGAGTATGGATTAGCAATAAAATAGCGAAGACTTTCACGCATGAAGTGGCTATGGCTTACAGACAGGCATTTTCATTACGACAGAGAATGCTTGATTGTATACAGCACTTGGAATATTATATGATGGTAGAAGTCGTGGAACCAAATTGGTTAAAATTTATAAATAAGATGAGCAAGGTGATGATTCATTTCTCATTTTTATTTAAAAAATGCAATATTAATATTAATTTTTATGTCAATAAAATACATATATTTTATATTTGACTTACTTTACATATTTATTTGATAAACTAATACCAGGTTAGCA